CAACGAGAATCAAAGGAACATGGAGTAATGCAACTAGGGCATTTTAAATGTGGATCGGTATCAGAATAACGTAGTTTACAAACTGTGCAATTTTTCATTAATGTAGCCTACTGAACAATCACGGCGAAGCGTGAATAAACAGCAGAAACACAATTAATAATCAATGCAAATTGAATAAATATACTAGTAATACCTCTATACTAACGTATAAGAGGAACTAACTAAATATAAATAAAGGATATAGTGTGTTGGGAGACACAGGCGCTCTCACGTCCAGCTCACTGGGCGAAGAAGGAGAGAGTGAGGCACATGGGCTTGGGTGGCGCCCTCGTTCCCGCGCTTGCAGAAGGGAGGTAACTCGTGGTGAGTACTAATGAGTGATTTTTTATTGAAGGGAACTTCAATTGGGAGATACAAGTGTTCCACTAGGTTCGCCAGAAGAAGAAGACAAGCAAATAAGCATGAGTCAGGATAAGGAAAATTATGTAAATCTGGTAAAATGATTTAGTAAAACTCTACCTATTTCTAAACACAGGATACATATATAACATATGTTATATTTGGGATTAAACTTTCTTTGTAAAGTACAGATCCTAGTACTTTTGTTGGGTTGAGTCCCATCCGGAATTTGAACCCACACCCTCAGAGTCAGGCACCTAATCGCCAGCACACAAAGTCAGACGCATAGACCGCGCAGGTTTCAGAATGTATATTCAAGTGACTATCATTTCATATTGTAAATCCTGATTTATCTCCACATTGTTAAATGCTAATTTAGTTGCAATTTTCTATTATTTTTACTCAAGATAATAGTACACAATAGTAAATGTTTAATTTAATCATTCTGTTTCGACACACAAGAAAACATATTTTGGAATCCTCAAATATGTGCCATACACATTGAGTTAAAAGTAAATAAATATTTGCAATTCAAGAATGTTGTTGAGTTGCTATCTTTACATCTCTTAAATCCTGAATTCTGTACACAATGTTTATTACTTCGTACAAGTTATTCTCTATTTTTTTACACAAGATATATTTTCACAACCCTTAAACGCATACACATTGCTACACATTGAATACACATTTTTTCAATCCTGACATGAATTTAATTCGATTCATAACTCCTATTTTACACAAGATACATTTTGTATACTCTACAAATATGTATACACAGTCAAATGTAAAATCCAGTTCATATCTGTGCACAAAAGTTAATGATTGCAAATTCTCAAATATCTACATATTGTACATGTTCTATTCAATTTCTCTTAATTTATTTACACACTTAATAATCATTTTCATCTTTAATTACATTCATATTGTAAATGCTTGATTTATTTATTCCCATTTTTGCATAAACAAAATACAATATTAACAATACATGAAATATACACACATTAAGTAATGTTCAATCAAGTTCATAACGTTTCTTAATTTTCACATGATGTAGTTAACAAATCAAGAATTACTGAAAATGGTTAATCACTTCTATTTATTATTCTAGGATATTTACATAGCGCACATATCCACGCAACAAGTACATGCTCAAGACACTGATATTATTCCCCTCGATCACTGGATGTCAATCTCAACAGCACATCGTATTATCAATCTCAACTCCCCGGAGATGATACAACTCTTGCAGCGACTGGACACACCGAGTTATTGCGGCTTTCTCATCCTTAAGAGATACCCATTCACAGCTGGGTGGACTGGAACACATAGTCACAGTACTTTGTCCAAGTTCACTGCACGTTGATGTACCCGCAATTATGTGTTTGCATGTATTCATGTGGCCTCCATCTGGTCATATACCAACGGATTCGTGGGTTCTTTTAAGTGCATAGGGTACACTAGGGGTTGTGACAACACTGAAAGAGTCTGCACACAAAGTTGGCTCCAAGGTTTTCACACCCGGTCACAGGTGGGCTCGATCCCGACACTTCGAGCTTCCTGGATCACTAGTCTGGCGCCTTAGCCAGCTCGCCCACCATGCCCCACAAATACATTCAAATACATTCACATTGTAAATATTTCATTCTACCCCAATCTACTTCTATATACAAAATACAATGTTTGCACATCCCGACATCTACACACATTTGCAGTGTTACATCAAGTTCATTAATTTTACCAATGCAGTTAATCTACGTGTCTTCATATACAGTCTGTACATAGACAGTGTAAATGTTTGATTCAGTTCTAATCTATTTCTATCTACAAAATACACTATTTGCACATCCTAAAATGTACACACATTTACAGTTCATTAAATTTATCAATACACAAGATCTATGTGTCTTCAAATACATAAAAACTGTTAATGTTTGAGTCAGATGTAATCTTCTTCTGTGCACAAAGTACACTATTTGCACATTAATATACACATATTTTCATCAATAGGCACAATGCACTTAACAAATCAGCAAATACGTACACGTGGTTGACTATTTATGTTTCTACCAACTATTTCTACAAACAAAGCCTTTTCTACATTATTGAAATCCAGAAATATGTAAATGGTTAAATGTATAAATAAATTCCTATCTAATTCCATACACATGATAACATTTTATGAAACAAAGTTTCAGTTACAATCTTTACATTTCTTAAATCCTAAATTATTGGGACATTGTTAAATGTTTAATGCAATTTCTATCTAAATTTATACACAAGATGCATTTTTACAATCCTGAAATGCATACACAATCTAATATGTCTATTTCAATTATTCTACACCCAAGATAAAATATTAGCAAATCCTCAAATATGTACACACTGTTTTTAATTCAGTTCCTCTTTCTATTTCCACACTAGACACATTTTTTCCTTATCCTGAAATACATACACATTGTTTATTTAATTCAAGTCATATGTTGCATTTTACACAACATATTAGACTTTCAGATGCATTAATGGTAATAGTTAATAGTTTGAATAATAACTTCTAAAAAATTGAAATAACAGACTGGGGTCCTTTCCACTTATCTAGACTTGCCTCTTTAAAGGATATAATAATTACAATACATCCATGGTCTTAGCTCTCAGTACAGCCTTGGAGCAAGGCTAACAAGATATCTGTATTTTGAATTCTGAATTATATGTATATACAATCAAATGTTAAATCCAATCCATGTCTACTTCTAAAAGGTAATGTTTGTAAATTCTCAAATATCTATCTACACATTGTACATCTTCAATTCAATTCTTCTATATTTACATACTAGATATTTGTTTTACATATCTTCAATTACATACACATTGTAAATGCTTGTTTCAGTTTCTCCTATTTTCCCATAAACAAAATACAATGTGAACAAAACCTGAAATACACATATTACAATGTTTAAACAAGTTCATTAAATTAATCAATAAACATGATGCCTTTATAAAAGCAGGAAATATTGGAAATTGCTGATCATTTCCATTCCTATAGAAATGATGTGTCTTGAAATGCATACAAATTGTAAATGCTTGATTCAGATGTAATCTACTACTATACGCAAAATACACATTTTGCACATTCTGAATTATACACACATTTTCATCAATATGCACAATGTATTTAACAAATCAACAAATATGTACAAGTGGTTGATTATTTCTGTTTCAATCAACTAGATGACCTTTTTAAACATGAAAGATGTACACATTGCTGAATTTAAATTCAAATCTTTCCTATTTCCACACACAAAGCCTTTTCTACATTATTCAAATCCAGAAATATGTAAATGGTTATATGTTTAAATAAATTCCTATTTTTTAAATATATTTTATAATACAATATTATTTACACATTTAAAAATGTTTCAGTTACAATCTATATATTTCTTAAATCCTGAATTAAGTACACATTGTTAAATGTTTAGTGCCATTTCTTTCTAATTTTATACACAAGATGCATGTTTACAATCCTGAAATGCATACACATTGCGGAATGTTTATGTCAATTATTCAACACACAAGATAAATTATTTGCAAATCCTTAAATATATACACACTGTGTTTTCAGTTCCTCTTTATATTTCCACACAAGATACACTTTCTTTTAATCCTAAAATACATACATATTGTTTATATTGTACACAAGATATTTGTTTTTAATTTTTTTAACAATATGCACACACACACACACACACACATTGTTCCTCCTATTTTTCCATAAACAAAATACAATATTAACACAACTTGAAATATACACACATGTTGTAATGTTTAACAAAGTTCATTATTTTATCATTTAACTTGATGTATTTACAAAATCAGAAAACATTGTGAAATTATTTCCATTTCTATTGAAAAGATGTGTCTTCATATACATACACATTGTAAACGTTTGATTCAGTCCTAATCTACTTCTATATACAAAGGCAAGATATCTGTATTTTAAATTCTGAACAATATGTATATACAATCAAATATTAAATCCAATTCATGTCTTTTTCTAAAATTCTCAAATATCTACACATTCAATTCCATTCATCAATACACATGATCCATGTGTCTTCAAATACACACACACACATTGTAAATGTTTGAGTCAGTTCTAATCTACTTCTATACACAAAATACAATGTTTGCACATTCTGAAACACACACATTTTTATCAATATGCACAATGTATTCAACAAATCAACAAATATGTACAAGTGATTGAATATGGGTTATCGCTTCTTTTTCTATTGACAAGATATGCCTTCAAAAGCATACAAAATATGAATATTCTATTCTATCAACTTTATTTTTTTCAAAACATGAAATATGTACACATTGCTGAATTAAATTCAAGTCTTAACTGTTAGTTTAACACAAGATACATTTTGTTAAAGCTAATTTATTACTGTACACAATATAAAATGTTTCCAAATTCTCAATTATCTACACATTGTAAACATTTATTTCAGTTTCGCTCTTTAATATTACGCTCAATATACATTTTTCAAATCTTCAATTACAGACACATTGTAACTATGACAAATTCTCTCTTTTTTACTTTACGTAATATACAATATTTGCAAACCTGAAATGTAAACAAATTTTGCAATGTTTACTTAAAGTCCTTAAATTGGTTCATACATCTGATCAATTTAATGAAGCAAGAACTATTTGCATTTGGTGTATCATTTTATATTTCTATTGACAAAATTTGTTTTTCAGAACATCTTCAGTTTGATCCAACTCTTACCTCAATCTTCAAATACAAACACATTGTAAATGTCTGATCCACTAAAATATGTACACATTGTTGCATGTAATTCAAGAGTTTTTTCTTGTGAAGAAACATTTTGTCATATGTCAAAGTCAATTCCTTACTATACACAATATGTAATGTTTCCAAATTCTTTATTTTCTAAACATTGTAAACATTTCATTAAATTTCCTGTACATATATTTACACACTTGATACATTTTTCAAAACTTCAATTACATACACATTGAAAATATGTTTCTGAACATAAAATACAATATTTGCAAACCTGAAATATGGACACATTTTGCAATGTTTACTCAAGTTCACTAAATTTATCAATACAGTTGATCAATTTAATGAAGTAAGAAATATTGCATTCTACTTCTATACACAAAATACAATATTTGCAGATCCTGAAATATTCACACAAATTATTAAAAAAGCAAAATGTATTAACTTTATCAAATCAAGAAATATGTACAAAGTGTTAATCTAACCCAAGAACTCTCTCACTACATCAAGAATACTTTCTGCAACTTTAAATTCTCTCTGTGTATATTTTAACAGGAATTTTGGGCTCAGTTTATCCAGACATTTTGCCGAAGTTACCACCTCAGAGAAAAGGAATTGATCAGATCTACCTCTGTGCTAAATAGGTTCTGTACATGGTAACTTGTCTTCCTTGTCGTCATATCTGTAGTACGAGACTAACATCACAGTTTTCTCTGCAGTCTGGAACATAATACTGCCGTGTAGAGAACATGTAAAATTAAACTGTATGCTACATAACTTTGATATTTGTCTTGAAACAGCAACGGTGGTAAGTGTGCATACTTTTTTCTACTGATGGAGCACATTTGACTGAGATGTGAATCAAAATTACCAATGTCCATCTGCAACGATAATATGGTATATTAATATAAGGGGTTATATTTGTGCATCAATATAGAATCTCACCTTACATATCTTCTGCGAGATTGAGAACACGTTCTGCAAGTTCACAGGCTTGTCTCGCTGTATTCTCAGTGTACACATCAGCTGGTGTATTTGGACAGGCAAGTCTATCTGGAAATAGCATTCTGTCATCGTCACCTACGACATTTTGTAGCTGAGTCACAAGCTCAGACAAACGGACATTTCCCATCCTGCTAGCTGCTTTTATGATGCCCTTTTTCCATTGACTCTGTGCCTTGCGGGCATCCCTGTTGTACCAGGCTGATATGACGGCCTTCTCTGCTGCCTGGGACATACAGATTGAACCTCTGACCACCAAGTAGAGACAAGGGTCACTTGAGCACAAATATCTAGATTCATTTTCAGCACTAACAGGTCACCTTTTGAAAGTGCCTAAAACTTAAAATCTGATATGCAGAATCACAAAGTAACGTAAGCGATACACAACATGGCAACCATTACAAATATAACTTATTGCAGCAACAGTATCAAAGTTTGTTTGTGACCACTGTCTTTACCGTGTTTCTTCAAGGTACTTGTTAAAAATTAGAATTTAGCTTCATTGAAACAGATTTCACATGATTCATACAGAACTGACATGTTGTAGTTATTGCCTCCAAAATCCAAGTTTTCTGTTACCTTGAATGACATCATTGCTCAAATCCAGCATTTCATTACAGATTCGATGAAAACGGCCATATTAGTTTATGAATACATGTGAAGACCTGGGTTAGAATTGATCTTCAGTAACCCATGATTATTGCTAGAGGCAATGAACAGAATTGCTGACCTAGCTGACACATGTCATTGTATCCCAGTTATGTTGATCGATGCTCATGATGTTGATCACTGGATTGTCTGGTCCAGAGTTATTTACAGACTGCCACCATATAGCTGAAGTATTGTCGAGTGCGGCGTTAAGCAAGAAATAAACATATTATAAATTAGTCTATTAAATCAGCTTACCTTGAGAGCTTTGAAGGACACCCAATTATAGTCTCTACCAAGTTTGAGAGTGTCCCTGGCTGACCTCAAGTCATATGTTGCCTGTCTGAACCACCGTGTTGCTTCCTCTGGTTGAGGATGAGCAGAATGGTAGCGATTGTAGGATGTGTCCCTTTGGTCTTGGTGTTGTTGGTACTGAGACCTTTGATGTGAACTTCTCTTCCTCATATGTTCAAAGAAACTTGAGTCTGCGTCATCTGCAGGGACGTCACCACCTTCAGTTATGCTCTGCCCATTTTCAAGTTTTGTCACGTATGACTGAATATACTGACATACTTTTGTACAGAAATCTTCATTTCCAATGTTCTTGTCTGGATGCCAAGCTAAGTACAATCTTTTCTTTACCCGTCTTCTTTCCTCCATACTAGTACTTGTTTTCCATGTTTCTGTCAGAATATTTCTGATTTCCTTCAACACTGTATTCAGGTCTCTTGGTTTCACCTCTGGTAGTTCATGTTTCTACTATTGCAGTGTTTTCACTCTTAACTTTGTACAGCCTTGAACCACATATAGCCTCAAGATGTCCATTCCCAAGTGCAACCACATATTGCCCTCTGACCAATAAAGATTCCTTTGACAGGATTCTCTTTACAAGTGCATAAACATACTCAGGTTTGCCCTCTTCACCAGGAGCATCGGTGTCAACGACAGGGTCATAAACCTCCAGTCCTACATACTCCCATTCATCAAAGTCATGGAATCTGTTGTCCAGACGCCAGTGCATATCTTCTGGGATTGATCTCCCAGGAATAGGAAAAGAATAGTCTTCTCTTAGTTGACATTCATAATTATATGTCCTTACACTCTGTTTATCCAAATACTCCTTGTAGGTTTCTGGGTCAGATTTTAACAAATGATTTATGTGAAACCATGGCACTAACAAAATCTGGATCATGTATTATGTCAAGATATTTCTGAGATAAATCACGTGGACATGCTTTCAATTTGCTTTCATCAGTGACAAACTCTTGGACTAAAGATGACAGCATCTTCAGCTGATAGCACTCTGGTAGCAAGTTAATGTGACTTTGTGGATCCTTGTTCAAATGTGGAAACTGCTCAAATCCCAGGAAATACTGCAAATCAAGAGACTGAACTCTTTCTAAGAAAGAATCATTATCAATGAAGACCAGCTGGCTGGAGTCTGTTAGTCTCCAGTTTACATCTGGTAGATACAATGTTGGTACATCTACTGTGGGTGTAAATTCAAATATTAGGGTAATGGCCTTCTGTGCTGTACGCAGATCTTTGTCTTTCAGTGATGGTGTCTTTTTGCACAGTTTCTCCAGAACACATGCATACAGGTTACCATGTGCCTTCTCTGAAGCACCAAGACCGAGGAGAACTTGACGAAATCCTCTTAATGCATATGGCATTGCATATACATATCCTTCCACAATCTCATAAGACCGGATGTTTGTGACAACTTCTGAAGCTGGCACCATACATTTCTCTTCTGGAATATAGACTGTGCAAAAGTCTTGAAGCTGATGCTTCATCCAGTCACTGACTCCTGTCACTTTCAAGTGTTTGTAAACGGATTCCATGACACTTTCCATGATATGACATAGTTTGGAAACAGAATTCTGGTCCTGAAGTTCTTTAAAAGAGCTGCATATGTTTTGTAAATGACTTGTTACATCTACATCTTCTGGTGTTGCTCTAATGCCAAGTTCAGAGGAGTCATCTTGGTATGGTATCCATCCCCATAAGGACGGGATTGCACTCTCGTGGAACATTGAACAGTTTGTCCGAACACAGTGCTGGTTCTTTGGATGGAGTGATTCGCAGTAGGCAACTAGCCGTTTGCCCTCATGCAGCTGAGGGTGTATATCTGTTAACTCTTTTCCAACAATATGAGGTAACACAAACTTTATCTCTCCAATTTGTGGCAGATGTTCTTGAAATCTGCCATGGTGCTCAGCTAGGTATGAGGACAACACTTTAGACTTGTTGCTAACGTCTTCAGAAATACCTGTGCTACCAAGGGCTTCAACTTTTCTAGCAAAGGTTAGATAAAGTTCAATACTAACATCTTTTGTCAAACCAGCAAATTCCATAAAGGTTTTCCATATCACTTCATCATATGGTGATGGTGGAAACTCAGCTGTGCTACACATCTGTTTGAAGACCTCTTCATAAGGACTATAAAACTCACTTGCACATTGACGTAAGCCCTCCTCTACTTCAATGAATCTTAATGTTTTCAACTCATCTTCCAGTGCTTTCTGTACACTAGTTATCGGGAGTTCTCTGGGTAATATGATATCACGTATGAATTCCAAATGTGAAAGTTGGGCTGAACTTGGCATACATTCAAAGTTTGGAAGGACGATACGAACATACAGTTCCTCTTGTGTCAGTGTCTTTATATGCCCTCATGCAGCTTCATGAACATGATAGCTCTTTCAATTTTTCATTTCTTGTGTTGTGAGGTTGTATTTATTTGAAAAGTTATTTAATATAATCAATATCAATAATGTATGTGTGTGTGAGGAAATTATAACTATTATATATAGAAATAATTGTGTCTGAACATACTGAAGGTAAATAAATACACATGATCACTGACGTGTGACTGTTGAAACAGATTAATTAGCATATGAAAGAACATTCCCATGGCCAAATGGGTATGAGAAACTAAATTCTAATAAGTATTCGACCTTGTGGTGAGGTACAAGTAAAGTATAAATGTAACTAGGAATTCCTTGAACAGGTGGGCACGGTATGTTCATGTTAATGATAGTCAGGAATAGTGCATATAGACTTTTGTAATGTGAATACGTTATATACTCTTGTAATACAAAGTATTTATTCCTGAGTGTGCTTGTGTTTTAATTTGAGTCGTTACTTGTCAATATCATGAAGCACTATGTTTCTCGCATAACAAATGTTGAATGATAATTAAGTCCTACGATTACTATCTATTCTGTGCTTACATGTGCACAAACTGCAAACCAGCGGGCCATGTAACTAACACTACACAATAGCACAACATAATCCTGTGAGAAAACTGTTGATACCTGACCATTGTCAATTATCTGCTGTTCGAAGAAATAAATAGTGAAATATACTTTAAAAATGTGCAGCTCTATAGCCTTTGAACATAATGATTATTAAACAATAAAATTGAGAAGAATCACAGAAATACTGCAACTATCACGGAGACATTCATCAAGAAATAAAACTAAAACCGATTCAACAGGTGTCACTTTTACAAGCAACGCTGCTGTCAACGAGTATGAGAAGATCAATAGTTCTACTGAAAACAAAAACTGATTGTGAGAACCATTTGGCACCCAGTGTCCATTTAACATTCCCGTGCCAATGTCAACTCGGCCGGTGAGATCTACTCAAATCAACGGAATCATACACACACGTCAAGAAAGATTACGTTGCCTAGTCGAAATCAGGGTCTTGACAGCGCTGGGTCCTTGAGAGTTTCTGATTTATTACTTTTTGTCAGAGATAAAGCTCATCGCCGTTCCTCCTACAAGACAATAACATATAGATTTTTCTCTTACCCAAGCTCATATACTTCGATAAAATCTAGCATACATACTTACATAGTCGCTAATCTTTCATGCTTGCCGCGCCTGTCCGCCATATTTGTGTGTAGCATAGGGTGTTGTTGGGGAAACCCGGGTCACGTGATTAGCATGACGTAACAAGCACCTGTTCCGAAAACATGTCGTCTGCTAAACCACAATGGCCTCCCAGGTGTTGATATCACGCGTATGTGATACGTTGAAGTCTTTGGAAAACTTTATCAGTACAGTTGAGAAAGGTATTTTCAGTGTTCATGTCTATATATATTTGTGTAAACGTTTTAATCCGTTGAAATATCATTATTAATAATATTTTGCAGCATGGCGGATTTATCCGTCATAATAATTTTCTTCCATCCAAATAGAGCTATAGCAGTAAAAGCAACAAAAAAAACACAAAAAAACACACAACTAAAACAAGCAAAAAGCAAAACAAAAACAAAAATCCATTATATTTGAGGCTGGTTATAAAAAAAGAGCTATCTTTCTTCGACCTATTGTTAAGGAATGGTAATCGTGTACTGGAATAGAATAAACAAGGAGCTTTAACCTCATGGCATTCAATTTCAGACGTTCATTGTAATGACTGTATTTGTCTCTGTTTCACAGCTGGTTTTCAGGCGGGTAGAATGACCGTTTAAATAGCAATCAGCCTCTAACAGTTACTCTCTCCTCTTGGTTTGCGTTTATTTGTTTGTTGTTTAACG